CAAGTTTTCTTTTTCTCAGTTTACAGGTTAAGCAATTAGTGAGTCTAATTAAGCATAAATTTCTTGTGGCTTGCGAACATTAATCTGATCTAAGTCTCCTGTCCTCTACCCCTCTTAACTGCTGTTTCTGTTTTTAATGTGTATCTAATCAGCCCTTTATGTCTCACAAGATGTCTTACCATCTTATCTCTCCTTTTCTTTTTTAATATTGTCACGTATTTAAACACCTCGGTCTATTACTACTATTGTTCAATCAATCGCCGTCTAATTAACACTTCTTTTATTAACTACTTATCAATTCACCACTACATGAACACTCTGTCATTTCTTCGTTCCTTCTTCTTCACTTTGTATCACCTCAAACTCGTTCCGAACTCGTTCCCGTATTACGACACCTGTTTATAAAAGCTGGCCGTGTTCCAGAATATTCTAGTATATGTTGTCTAAAAACGTGATCTTCCTTGCCGCTGTGTATGTTGGGTTGCCTATATACATGTGACAATATCTACAGCGCCCTCTCTTCATGACATAATGATATTTATAACATCTTCTATCCGTGTTAATTATGACCATCCTCCTATTAAACCATATCTTAAACGTTTCTAGCTTTCATTTTCTGTATAGCACTTGTATATAATGACCACAGACCGCAATATATTGGTGTATTTACCCTAAGTGGGTGTCAGTTAGTAAATAAGAAGTGTAAAAAAATGACTTTACATATGAAGACATTAATGTCACTCTATCAAACCCCTGGTGTGCACTGCAACTCAATTTGCAATAACCAATTGACTTTTTTGTTATAATATTGCTGTTACACTTGTACAAGGCTATACCACACCTTTTTCCACCGAATCTATTAAGCAGTTAGTAAGTATCATAATTTGCAGTAAAATTTTACTATGGCTATCATATAATGATAAATAAATTCACATCGAAATTATTACCTACATACTGTTTAGTATCTTTGTAACCCTAATAGAGCTTAGAGAATGTATCAGTTGTAAATAATAAATAAACAAATAAACTAAAAAAAGACAGTTACACATTAACTCAGGACATAGTAACTGAAGCTGACGCTGCTTCCTTGAAAAACTTGATTAACATATTGGTAACCAAATTACAAAAACTTTCAGAATTTGTGAATAGCAATTAGTCAGTTAAATCAAATCAGCTACTAATCAAAATACAGAATTCGTTATTGATGAGTAAAGCAAAACTAAGACCAAGAGTATCCCAGTCTTGATGTTGGTCTTGGTCTTTCTTATTCGGTCTTAGTCTTTCTCAAATACTTCTAGTCTTAGTCTTGGAGTTGGTCTTCTTCACACAGGCTTGGTTTTGATCTCGCGTGTTAAGTCTTGGTCTTGCTCATTTAATCTGATACTTAGGTTTTTTTAATAATTCTTATCAGAACAGATTACTCTTCCTCGATAAATGGGCTATCTAACACTGAAAGAATTTTTCAAATCGGACCAGTAGTTCCTGAGATTAGAGCGTTCAAGCAAACAAACAAACACTCTGCAGCTTTATAATATTGGTGTAGATTTTAGCAAAAAAATTGTCTAAGGTAATTTTTTTAAGCAAATTTCGAGGGCGCTAGAAAATAATCGATTCTCAAAGTGAGCAACAGACGAAATAAGTATGACAACCTCTACTCTTAGACTTTTGACGCTGCTTGTTGGATTCCAATGCCCACAAGGGAGCAATATCGCCCTCTTTGAGAAATACTGTACTAGTTACATCAAAGGTCACATGTTTGGATGTTTCACAGTATTCCGACATATTAATTTATATGCTTCTGGATTAAAAAGGATAAAAATTATGAAGATGGAAAGGAATGCTAGAATTCTGATTAAATTCAGAAATTAAATGATAAAACTTCGAAATAATTATTGCATTAAGTAAAACAGTTTTAACTTTGAAATTTTCGATAAAAGGAAGAAGTGAAAGTGAGTGTCGAACCAGTTTTTGGTCTAATGACTATGGTGATGATGATGATGATTCTAGGGTCCTTTTGTGAGAACTGCTTCTAATTATTAAAGGTTTACTGTTTACATATTAGAGGCAGAAACAGGAGTTAGGAGGGGTAGAGGTAGGCCTAGATTAGATTACTCTTCGCAAATAGTTAAGGATGTGTGCTGTTCTAGTTTTAGGGAAATGCGATGATTAGCTCAGGATAGGAAAGAGTGGAGGTACGTGTCCAACCAGTCTTAGGACTGATGACCTTATGATGATGATGTAGAATTTTTAGTAAAAACGCAACTAACAAAGTGTCACATGACCTACGAAATGCAACTCATTGTCAGTATTTTCTTAACGCCTAAGCTCAGTTTAATTGAAACAGAAAGCAATCTAATTAATTGGAGGCATTTGTCAATCAAAACGCGCAAATCGGCTAATTAACACAAATGTATCTATCGCTAGATTGACGTATCGATAACATAAGGCTCCAAGAACGTTAGAAATGTATTATGTATGCAAGTACTTTAAATAGCATTACAATATTTACCTGAAATTTGCATTAACATCTACCCGCCGCGCCGTTAATATTTCTCGAGTAGAATTTAATTGATTTTGCCGTTTCAATAAACTAATGAATGATTAAAATATGAAGTGATTTAAATGGGCTACAAACGAAAATAAATACAGACAATTACAAATGTCTCGCCCTGTATATATTAAAAAAATTAATGTATAAATCTTATTTTCAATAGATAAACAATATTTTTGTTAAGATATTTAAAGAAAAATAATGAAAGCGTACATATACAAGGTGTTACAAATCATGAATTGCTACGGTAAATATTACATTAAAATTTCAAGATAACCTAATCCCTACACCAAACAAGTCAAATTATTAACATTGAGATCTAGAAATAGACATTTCAAAACTAACCTAACTATTCTAAAACCAGCTTTTCCCCGCGGCTTCGCTCGTAGAAATTAATATTGTTTCTTCATAAAACCTTTTAACTCCCAATTCACCCTTACAACATTTTAATTTTATGTAATGTCGCCATCTTAGATTTCAAACATAAACGTAGCAACAACATTTCATCTTTCAGGGTTGATTTTTAAAAATTGCCAAAACACGTATTTGCTTAATTTCAACAATGAGCAACCTTCGAATAAATCCGAGTACAAATAAAATATACCCCATGGAAACGTTGCAACCTCTTTTCATTTGATTAATAATATCAAACAGCATACATATATACCAAATTTCAAGTAAATTCGACCACAAATAAAGTATGCCATAAACAAAAATTGCAATTACCCTCCACCCTTAAAACCATTAAGACCAAATCTGACGACAAATAATGTATGTTCCATTTAAACATTGCAACTGATCTTCACCACTCCTCCCCCACCAGAATGGGATAAAAAGTACCCTATGTCCGTCTCCTGGTTGTCAGCTACCTCTCCACCAATTTTCAGCCAAATCGGTTCAGCCGTTCTTGAGTTACAAATAGTACAAGTAACACAACTTTCGTTTATATATATAGATAATTTAAAGATTTCTACTATAATTTCTGCAGTATTTATGATATACTAGAAGGACCTTATTCCAGAATTTGGAATGCAGCATGAAATTCTTATCGAGATTTCGAACTTACAAGTTATATAAACTGATATGTTAGCACATTTTCGTTAACACAATAATGTCTATTAAAAGGAAAGACATGTGGCAGACAGTGGTTTTCGTCACCTGGTTTAGTCTTCAAAAACAAACAATAAATAAGAAACAAAAATTTCTCTCTACTATTTAACAACGACCTGTTTTTACGCACCAAACACAGTTATTATTATGCAACAGCCATTAATATATTGAAGCGCTCAAATATTTCAATTCAGTTGCAAAATCAGGAAGTACAACTAAAAAAATTCAACAGGCTCAGAAAAAATAATGTTATCTATTATCGTCCATGAAATAAATGATAGTCGACAAAGGGCACCTCTGTTTCTGGTGTCTGTTTATGTACTGTTCAGAAAGTTGAAAATTACTAAATCAATTTAAATTACAATCTTCAATTGTTAATAGCATATTTATGGTATACAACTCATTAATTAATCCTGATAGTTTTTCTGCTCTAATAAAAGAATAAGTTGAGACAAATTAAAGTAAGCAAAGTGTTTTAGGGTCATAATTTAGCATAATAACCAATAATTCGACCTTATCTTTTTTTCTAATAATTTGAGAAGTCCCGAAGATGTCTCCAATACAGAGAGAAAGCAAAACAGTAATAAAACTATTTCGTTTAAGAATACACCAAAAGTTGAAGTTAAAATTTAATAAGTAACCATTTTATTATTTGTAGCAAACATCCCTAAAACTATAATTAGCTGTAATGGGGATGGACACTTGCCTACTGGTAGCACTAGAAACGTAATTTAACTGAACTTAAGAATGAACTAAAGAGCGAATCCCATCAAATTAAGGGCTCATGGATCATTCGCTCTTTATCCTGGTGTAATTACGTCACTGATTATAGGTACATAGTCATACGATTGTAGAAAGGATGACTGGTAATATTTACGAGCAACATTCGTGTGTCCAAAAATTCCTACAAAAAAAAACACACACAGATCCTTATTCGAAGGATACCAATAGTAATAGTATTAATAATGAGAATGCCAAATCATAATGCATACAACACTATGTAACAGTGACTTAATGTAGTTTTCACCAAGAATGTTTCAGGTCAGTGCACACAGAAAGACCCGAAAAAAAAATTGCTTTGGAGTAGGTGGCTGCCATGGCGGCGTCGGCACACGTAAGCGTCAAAAGGAAGTAAAAAGATCGTACTTTTGCTCCAGTTTCAAGGGGAGGGACGCAGTAGGTTGGTATGAATGTATGTCGTAATTACGTATAACTCACACGGAGGCCTTTGTCTGTATTACGAATTTTTTACTAATCAGACAGGGAATGTTTCGTGGTCATTCTGATTTGCGTATAAAAGAGCGAATTATCATTCTCTGACCAGTAACGTCCTGTGCTTTTTAGTGATAACATAACATCAACAAACAACGAACCATCGAAAATGTTTTCTAAGGTGTGTAATAGTGCTGTGTGTATTTTTTTTTTGTATTTATTGTAGCCGTGCTTTACTTAATTAGAACATCTATAATTATTCTAAATTTATGGTTTATTTTAGCTATATACCTTCGGCCTTTTTTTGTGAAAATAATTAATTCATGTAAATTATTTTTTTGTAAAATTTCAATATTTTTCGTATATAGTTTTCTAAAATTTTTTCATTGATTTCATTTCAATTGTTCAAAATTATTCAGTTATTTTAAAATATAAGTTCCTTACAATTTTTTCGTCCTTTCTGATTCAACTATTTTAAAAAGGAATTAAATTCACCGAAAATAGGTACAATGTTTTTGTAAAATTTTCATCTTCTTTCTAACAGTTTTTCTTATAATTTTATTGAATACATCGCTAATACACCTAATTCTCACAAAACTACTTAATTCGTCGAAATAACAATTTGCTGCAAATTTTTCATTCGTTTTCAAAATA